GATGTGGTATATATACACAATAAAACACTGCTCAGTCACAAGAAATGATGAAATCCGGCCACTTGTGACAACATGGAGGAACCTTGAGGGTATCATGGTAAGTGAAATAAGTCAGAGGGAGAGAGTCAAATACCACATGATCTCACTCATAAGTAGGAGATAAAAACTACAACAAATAAACACAGAGACAGAGATTGGACTGGTGGGTACCAGAGGGGTAGGGTGGAGGAGGATGGAGGGAGGGTGAAAGGGGTGATTAGGCACATGTGTGTGGTGATGGATTCTAATTAGTCTTTGGGTGGTGAACATGATGTAGTCTACACAGAATTTGAAATATGTTATGATGTACATCTGAAAGTTTTATAATGTTATAATCCAATGTTACTGAAATACAAAAAATTAAAAAATAGGGAAAAAAAGAAAGTATGAACTTTTGTTCATCAGAAGACACCATTAAGAAAGTGAACAGCTAAGTCAGTCTCCAACGGAAGATATTTGCAACATGGCTAATCAACAAAAGACCAGCACCCAGAACATATAAATCAATAAGAAAAAAACAAACAAGTGAACCAGGAGGCAGACAGAATTCTGAAGGGGCTTTCCACCACGCATACCCAAATGGCCAGCAAACATACTAAAACAGGCTTGACCTTATAATTAATCAGAGAAATGCAAATTAAAACCAAAATGAGATACCATCACTCATTGAACAATTTGGCCAAAAAAAAAAAAGTCAGAGACAGTACTGTTAGTGTGGATGTGGGGCAAAAGGAGCTGTCCTGCAGTGCTGCTGGGAATGTCAACTAAACCTATTTGGGAAAACGTTGGCGTTCCCCAGCACATTTACAGATAGCCATACTTTTGACTCAAAGCTTCACTCCTAAATATACATCTAGAAAAACTATTGCACTTGTGCTTGAAGATGCCCGTTGAAAAAAATGTACAAAGCACGATTTTTCATAAAAGCAAAGCTTGGAACTAAGTCAAATGTCACCAACCATAAGCGGACAGAGCACACTCGTTCAGAGATGTGTGATGGAGTTCTGCGCAGCACTGAGAATGAACAAGCTGAGACTGTTTCCAATGAGGTGGACGAACTCCACAAACACATTTCTGAGGTGGGGGAACGTCACAAAGAACATGTTATGTACTGAATTGTGTCCCCCCTTCACCTCCCCAATTCATTTGCTGAAGCGCTAATCCCCAATGTGACCGTATTTGGAAATCGGGCCTTTAAAGAGGAAATTAAGTCTAGGTGAGGTTCTAAGGGTGGAGTCCTACGGGAAGAGGAAGACACCAGGAGCACATGAGCAAAGGCTACGTGAGGACCCAGCCAGAAGGCGGGCATCTGCAACCACAAGAGGAACCGACCTTGCTGACACCTTGATCTTGGACTTCAGCCTCCAGGACTCTGAGAAAATAAGTTTCTGCCATTTAAGCCCCCCCAGGTCTGAGCTTTACCGTTACGGCAGCCCCAGCACACTAATATCGAATACATACTTTAAATAAATGGTTCCCTTTACATGAGTTGCAAGAACAGGCAAAATTAAATGATATTGTTTACGAAGATGGTAAGACTATGAAGAAAAGTGAGTCAACGATTTTCATGAGAAGTCTAGACAGTGGTTTTCTGTAGGAGGAGTGAGCTGAGGATGATGGGGCAGGACTCCAGGGAGCACTTCTGGGGCCTGTCAGTGATCACATTCTTGCTCTGGGGTGTGGTTACACAGGTTTCTCTGTATAATTTCTTGTACCGTACGTGTGTTTTGCGTAGTATTCCGTACAAGTGATAAATGGCGGTTAAAAGAAAAATGCAGTGGACTGCCAGGCAGGTAATTTACGGCGGTGCTTGATTCTGTGGGAGGAGCCAGGAATGAGATGGAGAAGGCAGCTGGGGACTTCAGACATTACAGGGAACACTCTTTTTCTCAATCTGGCAGGTGGTGGCACAAGGGTGTTTGTCCCATTGTTATTTATACGTAGATATAGTTTATATTCGCCTTGTGTCTACTCAATATTTTAGAAAAGCAGTTGTTTAGAAAAAGGTGAAAAGAAGAATGGTATCTAACAGCTTCAGAAATTCAACTATTTTGCTTACAAAAGTGCCTAACAGAGTTGCTAGAAAAAATATAGGATACCCAGTTAAATTTGGAATTCAGGTAAACAATGAAAAAGTTTTAGTGTAGTTTGTCCCAAATATGGCATGGGATGTACTCATACTAAAACGTTGTTCACTGTCTATAGGGAAATTCAGATTTAACCAGGTCTCCTCTGTTTTTATTTATGGAATCTGACAACCTTCCTTAATGTCAGTGCCTGAACAATCCTGGGAATACCCCCTCCATACGCTTATTTCAGTGTGAGGCGGTGGTACCCAGCCCAAGATTTATTTCACTTTTTCACATCATTGATTTTTCTCTCTTAGCAAAGGACTGTGGCTCAAATTCCTTCATTCCTTGAGCATCTCTGCCTACATGTGTCCAAGAATAAGCTCATTAATTTGTCTCTAAAGCAAGATAACGATTTGGCTCGAACTTCCTTGTTTATGTCAAGGATGCCATCTTAGGATTCTTTGTGGCAAGTGACAGAAACTCAGTTGGACCAAATGTAGTCAAAGGAGTTTTTGGCCTCATGTAGCTCACCCACCTGAAGGGTGGAGGGCAGCAGGGCCTCAGGGATGGCGGAACCCGGACTTGAACTGCCTTAGCACCCTTCTCATCACTGCTCTCTGCAGGGTGGCCTCATTCTCACTAGGCTCCCAGGGCTCCTACTTCGACAGCCTGGGTTTAATTCAGGCTCTGCCACTTCACAGTGTGGTCCTTGCACAAGTTCCAGAACCTTTCTGTGTCTGTTTCCTCTCCTATAAACTCCCTTCCAAGCCTGATTCTCTAGGAGTAGAACCTGGGACAAGGATTCAGATGCATTTGGTTTACGGAGGGAATGCTCTCAGGAAAAAGGGACG